AGGTTGTAGGAGAAGATTCCTATAGCCCTCATTAATTATGAGTCAACTGAAATGTACCACAAAGAACTTAAAAATTGTCATTTACCAAATTTGCTTAGGTTGGTTTACAACAGCAAGCAAACTAGATTGAAGTAGGAGGATATGGAATTCCAGAAGAAATATCTCCCAGGAGAAAAAAGTGAACTTAATATTTCTGTTTTTTTTTATGAACACTTTTACCATGTTCTAGATGCTTTAAAAATACTAACTCATTTAATTTTCATAACAATCTTATGAGGCAGTATTATTACTATGATTATTTATATTATTGTTATCCTTAATTTACAGATGAGAAGACTAAGGCAAAGATAAATAATTGTTTAATATTTCACAGCTAGTAAATAAGACAGATTTATTCAAGCCCAAGCAGATCTGACTTTTAACCAGCACACTATGTTACCCTACCCTCTGGGTGCAAAATATTTCCAAAATGGTTTTATAATTCTGTTTGAGAAATAATTCTGTTTCGGAAAATATTAGTGACATAGATATATATGTATACAGAACGTCACATATATATGTATGTGTATATATATATGTATATATATATATGGCAAATAAGTGCAATACAATGAAGGAATTAAACTAATTTTGCACTGTTTTCTTCAGCAGTAAACAATATTTATATTATGTAATAACATGCAGTAAATATTTAATCAAAGTTTGTGGTATACATACATTAGGAGTTATTGAAAGGAATAATGGTTGCAGGTGGGGTAGGAGTGGGAATGAGCAAATGTGCTAAATCTTTATCTAATTCGGGGGGGTAGGGAAGGGAGGTCCAAGAGGGAGGAGTTATATGTATACATATAACTGATTCACTTCATTGTACAGCAGAAACTAGCACAACATTGTAAAGCAATTATACTCCAATAATAAAAATAAAAGAAAATAGTTGATGTTTAAAATTGATAAGTTAAACAAAAAGTACAAGCAAGGATATTGAAGTAAATATTAAAAGAAATCCAGAATAGAGTTGAAAACAATGGCCTCTTGGGAGCAGGACTTACACCAAAGTGTGGGGTGGGGGACTGCTTGGTGCATTACCAGTTTTGTAGTAATTTTGACCTTTTAAATGTGTCATTGCTATATTTTAAATGTATTATTTTGAAAACATTTAAATACACATGTATATGCATGTGTGTCAGCTATATATTTTAGTGGATTCCTTTTATATTTTTAAATTTTTTGACAGAATTTAGTTAAACAGGCTAAAATTGATCTATGAAGAGAAAATTATTTCTCTTAGTAAACGTATAGTCAGTTGGACATAAACATAGGTCCTGGGAGCACCTAACAGTCCAACTATTGCTAACATAGAATCATCAGATACATATGCCAACAAATTTGAAATCCTACTAGAGTTTCGTGTCTTTTATACCTTTATGCATCGCCTTTTTTTAAATGTCAACGATCTTTAGGAATGCAACAAGACAAATTCCCCAGTCTAAGACAGTTTAGCAAAGCATCCTCCCTTTTACTAAGAAGTAGAAGCAAGATAAGCAGACAGGAAACATCAAAATGTACTAACAGAAGTAAAAGAGGTTAAGCCACCAAGACTTTAACTCCATCTCAAGTTTCTAGGACTTTTCTCAGGAAGGCCAAGATACCAACTATCACATTCTCTGCTGAAAGAAATTTCTGGGCCTTCTGACATGTTCACCGTCATTATCTTCTTTGATTTTCAAACAACGCTTCATAGTAGTCAGAACAGGTGCATTATGGGTAGACTTAGGCTTACGATGGTTAAATAACCTGTGCCCACATAAACAGCTAGTAAGATGCAACAGGAAGACTCTAACTCACATTTTTTTACCATATTTTGAAGGTTCTTCACTATATTCCTATTCACATAGTAGTTATGCTGATCAAAAAAATCATAATTATCAAAATGATACATGTGCCTTATGCGTTTATTTGTTCATTTGCTTATTTGGTAAATAGTTATTGGATACCTACCATGTCCAAAGCCCCAGGGACTTCTAAAATATTAGTCTGTCATTAGAAGGACAATTTCAAAGCCACATCGTTACATATTAGGCTTCATTTTTCCCTCTTAGCAGAGTCAGATAAGACTGGGCAGAGTCTTCCATTAATTCTTATAACAACTAGCATGACTCAGAGGTTCGCACCATTGTCTTAATTTAATTTATTGAACTTCCACTTAAGCAGTCCTAATGAAGAGTTAAGTCCCCATCCTTCAGGAATCAGTAATCAAAGAAGGGTAGATTGAATTGTAATGGGAAAAATTAAGACATAGACAAACAGAGATTATACTAACAGCAGAAGACATCCTATATTTTAGTCTGGAAACAATGATACCAAACCTGGCAAGCATTGTAGATGATCATTTTAATTTATATCATGTCTCCCAGCGTCCTTAAAATGTGATTGCTATCATATGCTCACAAAATGAGAAGGAAGAGTTGAGAATGATTTCCAGATTTCTGGTTTAGGAGACTGAATAAGATGATATAGCATCACTCAAAAGTATAAAGTGACAAGAGCAGTTAAAGGGAGATAGTGAATTTCATTTTAGATATATGGCTGTGAGACCTGCAACAGGAGATGTCTAGAAAGCAAGTGGATACACACATTGGAGTGCTGTTTTTCTTCCGTAGGCTAGATTGAAGAAAGAGCCTCAGGAGTCATCATAATAAAGGGAATGGTTAAAACCTTGGAATCGTTTAAAAATCTTTGAGATCTTAGAATCTCAAAGAGACTTAAATGCTAGAAAAGCTTTTTAAAAAACTGTTAGAGGAAACAGAGAGCTTCAGAACATAGATAGAGAGAAGTCACAAAGAAAGGGGAGGAAAAACTAGGAGAGAATGTAGTCCAAGAAACATTTTATTAAAGGGGTGGGTCTGCATTGCCAAAAGTCACAAGTCAAGTAGGCGAAACACTAAAAGACTTCAACAGATTAGTAAATATGAAGGTTATTGCTTTTTTGTTGTTGTTGTTAGAGCAATGTGAGGGAAGCAGAGGGATTAGAAACCTTATTTTGACGGGTGAATCATGGGTGGAATGGTGAATAAGAAACAGAAATTGGAGGCAGCCAATGTACAACTAATTTTCCTACAATGGACACATAGCAAAATTTGTGTAATAGAATTAAGAAATGACTAAAATAAGTTTGGCTAAAAAAGAAAATTAAGAAATAAGAGAGTAGCTAAAGCGGGCCGTGCAGATTCAGACATCATCTGTTGTTTTATACTGAGGGTTTAGAAAAAGAAGAAAGAGAAAAGGAAAAGTGCAGTAGAGAGAGGAGATCATTGTTGTGACAAAAGCAAATTAACACTTGATTTTTTCCTTAAAATATGATAGAAGTGTACCTGTTGGGCTACTAAGAGATCATGTCTGAATTTGATCTTAAGCTATCAAGGCCTTGAAAATTAAAGGTATTTTTCAGTTGAAAGTGTAGGGCTAATGCTACAGAAAGGCTAACATTTCCTAATCATTTACAACAAATTAGGGCCAACCTTGCGAGGTAGTCCAGCAGTATGTTTTTTTTGTTTTTGTTTTTGTTTTTTTGCGGTACGCGGGCCTCTCACTGTTGTGGCCTCTCCCGTTGCGGAGCACAGGCTCCGGACGCGCAGGCTCAGCGGCCACGGCTCACGGGCCTAGCCGCTCCGCGGCATGTGGGATCTTCCCGGACCGGGGCACGAACCCGTGTCCCCTGTATCGGCAGGCGGACTCTCAACCACTGCGCCACCAGGGAAGCCCCCAGCAGTATGTTGTAGATGACAAAACTGTGTTTAGGAGAAAAGAAGTAAGTGGTTCAGAAAAAATTTTTTGAGTCCAGTGCTCTCCCCTCTTCACTGTGTTCTATCTTTGATAATATTTATGTGGGCAGTGTTGAATGAGTGATATCAATACAACTCCCTTTTCCCAGAATACGATAGATTTTGAAAAACAAAATGATTACAATCAATCAGCAGGGTAATATCTGAAAATGAGATTTTCAAAACTTTTTGTCTTTCCTTAAGAGGCATACCATTTTTTTCCCTCAAATTACAAGAACTGGAAGACATATTATCCTAAACTTGTATGTTAAAGAAAAACAAAAAACAAAACAGTGCAGCAGAATGTCCTATAATGGCCTAAATGCAGAACATCTTTTATAATGCAGGAAAGAAAAATCTCATTTTAATAATTATTTGGAATAAAGCTTCCACTATGAAATAGAGACACAAAAATTATTTCTATAAAACAATTATTTCTATACACCATATTTAGTGCCAACATCAGGTAGAGCTTTCCTAATTTCACTTTTAAATTTTTCAAATACATTTTTTATCTTTTACCCCTTGACCAAAAACAATATATCTAAATGTAATCCCAGCATCTGTTTTATACAAAAAAATGAATAAAATATTTCCATATAAACAGAAAACATTGGTCTTTATGTCTTTGTATCCAATTTTTTAAAAAGATCATCTAGAGAAAAATGCTTTAAAATCTTTTTGTTGTAGTTGAAATCAAAACTGCTTTTAGTTTCTTGCTGTTAGATCAGGTCTCCAGATCAGTGCATTACAATATCTTTGGGACTGTGAACTCAGAATGAAAGTTGCACTGAATTTTGTTATAGGTTCTTGAGATTAAAGTCAGAATTTCCTGTGCTGGGCTATCTAGGTACTGAGGTGCTGTGGTTGTTGGAGGGGTTAAAGCTGGAGCCATGGATGCATATATATTAGGGAGGATTCACCAAAACACGACAGTGGAGCCTGGGTCAATCCATTACTTTGAATGAGCAGTGACCAATAGAAAGGGACGAGGAAGATCCAAGAAAACTGAGGTAAGCGGTGTTCTGAAGCTCTGTCAAAGTGGAAACAATAGATCAAAGGTGTTCATGGTGACTGGTCAGAGGAGGTTTTCTTTTTTCTCGTAGGAGGCTAGACAGCATAAAATAAAAACAAATTCTTCTAGTCAAAGTTTTTTTTTTTTTTCTTAACTGATTTTAGCAAACTTCAGATCCAGACACAGGACTCAGCGATACATTCCTGGACAGCAAGGTAAACTATTTTACGCTTTTCAAAACTCTTAAAGTTAAGAATTCAAAGTTATGATTCATCAGAGGCAGGGTTACTGCTTCAATAACTAAAGCAAATCCCTATTCTGAAAAAAAAAATAATGTTTTAATGTGTCTCTGTTGGAAGATGACCAGAGCAGTATTCTGCAATCGCAAGAAATTTGACAGCTTGCAGAAGCTGCCCTGTGCTTGTCATTTCCCTCGATTTAGGGCAAAATTGAAAGATCAGCATTTCTAAATGATGCTGATTTTATCTCTTCCTAAGGAATCAGTGAAATTTATTTGGTCTTTATTACCAAGTGTTTGAACTAAATGTACATTGATAAGAACGTTATTGTTATATAGATACATATTATTTTCCTGTTGGGATAGTTCTTTGTTCCCATAACCTTGTTGAAACTCAACGGGGAGGATTTATGTCTTTTAAATGTATCACATATCAGTAAGTGTTAACCTTTGCTCTGTTAGCATCCATACTGAAAATATGGAGATCCACCTGTATCCTGAGCATGTTCTTTGTTTTGTTTCTTATCAACCATAGTAACACTGCTTACTTATGTAAGTGTGATATATATCTGTATCAACATCTATAGCTATATCTATATAGAGAGTTTCATAATCCAAATTTCTTGGCTAAACAACTTGATCCTCTACTTAAAATATTAGAAGTCTTTCCCTAAACCCCCAAAATAAAACTTACCTGAGAAGTTGAGCAACAGAGCAAGAGATTAATCACACATTTTTCTTCAAATCCTAAAATTTTCCTTCACAAAAAGTTGCTAAAATGTTCTTTGATCTCTCTATTTCTTTGGTTGAAGGGCCAAAGAGCCTGGGAAATCTCATCCAGATGTTCTGCTCATTTAGGAGTAAAAGTGAAAACATATGCCAACTTCTTAGGAACAACATAGACTCTAAATTTGAGTTATTAAAAGGTCACTTTTTTGTACTCGTGTGTTCAACTCTGGATTTCAGTTAACTTCCTTGCATTAAATAGCTTGAAATGGAAAAGCACTTAAGAGTTCCTAAAATTTGCTTTTTCTTTCTTGGTTTTCATTGTGATTGGGTTAAAACCAGAAAGTTACAAGTTGGTGAGTCAGTTTCAGTGTTTGCAAAAATGCTTTGCAGATAGTGCCCACTAAATAGATGGGTATTCGTTGATAAATATGCATAAAATGCTGACATGTCTTTACCTCCCCACCCACCTTGAAGAAGCAATGTTTATGGATCATTTTGGTGCACGCAGTTATCTAAAGGTCAAGATCGTTAAACATCTGACAATTGTATCCCTTACTCTAGGTACTAAAATGGCAACCACAATCTGTTTCATCATCTGGGTGTTATTCATAACAGATACTGTATGGACTCGAAGTGTGAGACAGGTTTATGAGGCAAATGATCCAGAGGACTGGATGATGCATGACTTCCATTGTCCCAGGGAATGTTTCTGTCCCCCCAGTTTCCCTACCGCTTTGTACTGTGAAAACCGGGCTCTCAAAGCAATCCCTGCTATACCATCAAGGATCTGGTATCTTTATCTTGAAAACAACCTGATAGAAACCATTCCTGAGAAGCCATTCGAGAATGCCACCCAGCTGAGATGGATAAATCTAAACAAGAACAAAATAACCAACTATGGAATTGAAAAAGGAGCCCTGAGCCAACTGAAGAAGCTGCTTTTCTTATTTCTGGAAGATAATGAGCTAGAGGAGGTACCTTCTCCATTGCCAAGAAGTTTAGAACAATTACAATTAGCTAGAAACAAGGTGTCCAGAATTCCTCAAGGGACCTTTAGCAATCTGGAGAACCTGACCCTTCTTGACCTGCAGCACAATAAACTATTAGACAATGCCTTTCAAAGAGACACCTTTAAAGGACTCAAGAACCTCATGCAGCTAAATATGGCTAAGAACTCCCTGAGGAATATGCCACCAAGATTACCAGCCAACACTATGCAGCTGTTTTTAGACAACAATTCCATTGAAGGAATACCAGAAAATTATTTTAATGTGATTCCTAAAGTGGCCTTCCTGAGACTCAACCACAACAAATTATCAGATGCTGGCCTCCCTTCTAGTGGTTTTAATGTATCATCAATTCTAGATCTTCAACTGTCTCACAATCAACTCACAAAGGTCCCCAAAATCAGTGCTCATCTGCAGCACCTTCACCTCGATCATAACAAAATTAAAAGTAAGTAACCATCAGGGTGTGTCTTTGACTAAGATATTCATGGTTATTAAATTTATTCTATATCTTCTTTAAGAATATCAATAATGTTCATTTTCTCTCCAGCTCTCATGCCCTTAGATATTTTTTTAGTGTATTTTCAAGTTTTGTCTATTCACAGACAGTGTCGATGAACCAAGAAGTTCAAATGTTCAAATTGCAAATTGAAAAGTGGATTTTAGTAATCTACAGAGGGCTATTACCTGTTGGAGAAACTAAATGTCTCTATCTTCTTTTACTCTGAGGAGATTCTGATATTTCTGCCTCGGTGGGCAGACTTATTGAAGAAAGTGTACCCCAGCCACAAGCAACCTCATGAATAGTAATAGAAGGAATATGATTTAGGAGGTATCAGGAAGGGACCTCTGTCCTGAAACCTACAGGACAGCTGATGCCTACAATCACCCTAGTTAGAATGTCTGCTTTAGATCAGTGGGTTTCTCAAACTTTGGAGTACACAAATGGATGGCCCCATCACAGAGCTTCTGGTTGAGTAGGTCTGGTGGGACCTGAGACTTTTCATTTCTAGCAAGTTTCCTAGGGATGCTGAGATTGATGTTCTGGGGACCATACATGGGAAACCAATATTGTACTTTAAGGCTTTGCTCAATTGAAATTGAAATAAATTCCCTGGAAGTTGGCAACTCCTTAGGACTAATGGCAGTCAACAAGGTAGAATATACACTCCTTTCCTGAAAATAGCTTTTTTTTTAAACATCCTTATTGGAGTACAATTGCTTTACAGTGTTGTGTTAGTTTCTGCTGTATAACAAAGTGAATCAGCTATATGTATACATATATCCCCATATCCCCTCCCTCTTGCGTCTCCCTCCCACCCTCCTTATCCCACCCCTCTAGGTGGTCGCAAAGCACCGAGCTGATCTCCCTGTGCCATGCGGCTGCTTCCCACTATCTATCTATTTTACATTTGGTAGTGTATATATGTCAATGCTACTCTCTCACTTCGTCCCAGCGTACCCTTCCCCCTCCCCGTGTGAGAGATGAGTGCAAAGTGTCTTGGAGGCAGAGGTGCCATGAAGGGAACAAGTGGTTATAGAAAGAAGGGGCTGGAGACGTTACAGGCAAACTTAGCATCTTCACAATTATGCCTGAGACCAGGATGACTCAGGTGTAGATGCAGACGATATCTTGGTCCAGCTACAGGGGATGATACCAGCCTGGCAAGTATCCATGCATGCTCCACCCTAGCACAAGCCCTTTGGAAAGCTAATCTTGAAGAGGTTTCTGAACAACCTTATAAAATACATCCCTAAAATGAGAATCAATTGGATAGTTTGCAGGAAAATGACACAGATAATTGTCAGAAGGTTGTGCTGCCTGCTTATTACTCACTAAACTTTTCATTAAGCAAATAATTACATAAACATCCAACCTATAAGAATAGACTATTTTGCACTGGGTACTCTTCAGTTTTTCAGTATTTTTTGGTTTTTTTCTAACAGCATACTTAAGCATAAAATCCAGGAACTCATGAGCAGGCTGCTCCCACCGCAGTGAGTTTTTTCCATGGTGATGAGACACATTGTTTAATATTGTAGTTAAAGCAAAAGATGCAACAGAAAAAAAAATGTTAATAGCTGAATCTGTGCACTGAACCCAATAGTACAGCAGCTAATATCAACCTAAATAAATGTAATTTTTTTTCCTGATGAAAGTTCTGTGCTTCTACAGGTGCATTCCTTACCTGACAGCAAAAGTCCCATAGACATTTGATGTAGGAAGTTAATTTAAAGGGATTCCACATAGAGCACATTTGTGAATTGGGAATTCCCCTGAAGTGGGAACTTGAGAATGAGAGTGTTCAGGAGTGAGATAGCAAAATTCAACACATAGTTGGGCACCTATGCTAGGTACTTACATAGTTTTACAAAGTTACACAAAGAAGAGGACTCTGTTCTTCCTCCACTTTTATTTTAGAGCGTTTTTTTCAAAGTTTTCTCATATATTTCTATTTTCCAATCATTCTCATACCTTAATGTGCATCAGAATCACCTGGAGGGCTTATAAAACACAGGCTGCTGGGCTTCAGCCTCTGGGTTTCCCACCTAACAGGTATGGGGTGGGGTCTAACCACGCAGTTCTCAGGTAGTATGGACGCTGCTGGTCCAGGGACCACACTTTAAGAACCACAAATTAATCACCAAAAGAACCTTGTGTGCTATTATTAGGAATTTCTGAAGAAAGAAAAACTGAGGCTCAACTAAGTGAGGCTATTTTTCCAAGGACAAAGGATAAGTATAATAGCCAGGACCTGAACCTAAGGTTTCCCATATTAGGTGTTTTTTCCCCCACTCCAACGTTATTATCATAGCACATTTTTCTTCAATGCCTAGAATATGAGACTTAAGACAAATTTCTATCAATAGAGGTAAAAATCGTTTTCACAGCAACAACATCAACAAAGAGAAATTGATTTACTTGCTGCTTAATGTAGATATCAAGCATGGTCATTTCTATATTCCAAGAAAAGAAATGGAAAAGAAGAATTTCCCTGGCAAGAGTTCTTGGCTCACCATTATATCACAATGCATTATAATAACTGCTAAAGTACTTACTTCTTCTTACCTCATAATCTAGTCTAGTTGTTAATGAAGTGGTTGCCAAGAAACATACCTCTTATATGAAGAGTTCTCAGAATTTATAGGACAGTGAACTTTTCTTGTCCAAAATGATGGAAATACTTATTTCTTCTGAACACCTTAGGGGGCTTTAAATTTGACAAAAATGTTATCTATTCGAACAAGTTACTTCTTGGTACTCTCAGAAACATTATAATTAATTTATGAAAATATAATTAAATTTAGAATGCTTGTTTTTACATTCTATTTATTCACACATGCATGGGTTATGGGTCATGAGGGTGATAAGGATAGGAGATAACACATCAGAAAGGACATAATCTCTCCAGCAGGCAAGGGACCCTGTGTAGTAGGAAAGGGATGAGGCTGGGACTCCGCTCTGCCTCTTACTTGCTGGAATACCTGGTGCACATTGCCTTACCCGTCTGAACCACTCTTTCAGCAATGCCCAGGTGGGGAGAATAATAATGTTGCCCAATACAGGTTGTGTCATGATAAGGTTATAATATATGTAAGAAAAAATACCTTGATGAATATAAATCTGCTATACAGAGTCATTATTTTTAGCAAGTTGAATTCACAAAATGGCATAAGATCAGAACAAAGCACCCTCACTGTAAGCATAAAATCCTTCAGAACAAGTCAGTGTGCACAAAAGGAAGGTCATTGCCAAAGTTAGTTGGGTCTTATCTTCTAAGGGAAGATCTCTTCCTCAAAACAGTTTCAAAATAGGATTTAAGAGTACATGAATTCATGGTTGAGATCAGCTATTATGCACACTTGTCAGAATTTCGCTGGTTTAAGAGGCTTTCTCTCCTGAATGCTCCTAACTTCAGTATAGACATTGATGCCAAGGGCTCTGATCCAAGGCAGGTGCATGATTTCTCACATCTTAACCATATGAAAAGGCTGACGGGATAGTTCCTGGTTTGAATTTTTGTAATTCAGTTCTTGGCAAATGTTTCCTTTCCAATTAAATACACTTAAGTATGGAGATTCAAGGTTGTTTTCTGCAAATATCACATATGTAAAGTTATATTAATTGCACTTTATAAAAAACTTATCATCATGTACTACTAGTTTGAATGTTTGCATTTTTTTAAGGTAACTTTCAAGCACCTTCTCTAATAATAGACTGGCTTTCTTCCTTTGCATCCATACTCCTCCATTCCACCATGCACCTACCCATTCTTTCAGTACCAACTCTGAACCATTGTTTCCACCTCTAATGCCCCAATACTACCTTTCTCATTCTACAGTAATCAAATCATGCCTTATCTGGCTTGCTAAAGGAATAAGACAAGTGATATATCTTATACACCTTTTTTCCATCACAACTTTTAACAATATGTCCTTTCTAGTGCTCTGTATTAAGCATAGCAAAGTATGGACTGAGATGACTATGTGTACGTTGCACATTTTTTCAGGGTTACTTCTATAAAACAGATATGCATAACTTCCAGCTTACACGAAAAGGGTTTGTCTCTCTGCCACTTTCATAGACCAGGCCACTAGACCCTCCATAGGACTGTTATAATAGCTCTTGGTCTTCCCATCCTTAGTCTCTTGTATTCCAGTTCATTTATTCACGCTTTCTTTGTCTCCGTAGATGTGAATGTCTCTGTAATATGTCCTACCACTCCTATCACATTGCCTGCGGAACACGATTCCTTCAGTTATGGACCTCATCTTCGCTACCTCCGTCTGGATGGAAATGAAATCAAACCACCAATCCCAATGGATTTAATGACCTGCTTCAGGCTCCTTCAGGCTGTCATTATTTAAACATGTCTTCAACAATCTAAAATTCATTTAATGAGTTCATATTTCTGACCTGAAATTTGGTTGCCATTCATAGGTTTAAGATAAAAATCACTTTTCTAATTGCTTATGGCCACCATTTTTATTTGTATAGCTTACTTTTTTTCTATTCAAAGTTGCTTTTCCCCATGATATGTAGCACAGACTGCTTTTCTTTAATTAGTAAAACAGACACAGAGTTAAGATAGTTTATCAGCTCAAAGATAGTTCCTTTTTGTCTCTCTCACAGCTTATTAATACCAAATAATACAAATACATTGTGATTCAATAGGAAGGATATATTTGTTTGCAAATGTTCAAAATTGCTTATGCAGATATTATATTCACAGTATAAACACAACATCTAACAGGAGGTAGGAATTTCTAGAGAAAATGAAAAAATGAGATATTTCTTTATCATAATTATAAAGAAATAATTAAATTCAGATTGTTAAGTAACATTTGTAAGTATAAGTCTGGTACTTAGCTCAAGAATGGGTATGAGGGCTTCCCTGGTGGCGCAGTGGTTGAGAGGCCACAACAGTGAGAGGCCCGCGTACTGCAAAAAAAAAAAAAAAAAAAGAATGGGTATGAAATGCATCGGATACTTTGTAACAAGAAAATTCTAGTCATTTAATGTCAAATAACAGAGCAATAGTCATTTTTAGTTCATTATACCTATTTCTTAAATCTGCTGTTCTTAGATATAGTACAGTGTACTCTAGTAATTAAAGTTCTACATTTATTGTAACACATTTCTGACAGAATCTTAGTGTTTTAACACTTGAAATCCACTTGAATTGCAAATTGTTCAGTCTTATATTTGCCAGTGCTTTTTGGATTTCTGAAATAAAAAGAGTGAATGCTTTCCAACAAAACAGAAGTAAAATATTTATTTCAGGAGGCTTATTCACAAGTCTTATTAAGAATATATTTTTAATAAAAAGTGTTATAGTAACAATTAGTTCCATTTTTCTAGCATGAGTACATTAAAATATATTTTCTCCTACCCGTTTTCCTTTTATCCAGTGAACACAAGAAAAAATTTATATTCTAATCACTTGACATAATATACCTGTTTCTCATGAGTCAAAAACAAAACAAAACAGGATTTTGTTAAGTAACAAAGTACAGTTTTCTTATATTTCTGATTTTGTTAGGTATATGTTATTAACAATAAATATTCCATGCTGATTAATACATCTATTTATATATATTTTTCCAGACATTATTCTGAAAAATTCTATAAATATATTTCCTTGGAAAAAGGATCATATACATTTGTGAATCACCACATTAATGAAAGCCCAACATGTTACTTTAATCCAAGGCTTCTCAGAAAATTAATATGTTACTTTGTTAAGTGAATTCCCAAGAAGAAAAAATAATGTGCAGGATTGCCTATGTATTTTCATACCAAAATTTATTTGGGGGTGGGAGGAAAGAACAATGAACATACATTGAACAGTTTTTTAATGCTGGCTGAAGGCAAGACATTAAGAAAAAGAATAAGTTTAAAATACTTCAAAGCACGTAAAGAAAATTATGAAAATAATGTCATATAAAATTATGTCATAAAAATACAGGTAATCAGATATTGTTAGGCTGGGGGAAAAGAATATGTTAACAGAAACATAATAACTTTAAATATTTGAAAACTTGCTATGTGAAAAGGGGGATGACACATATTCCAGGAAGCTCCAAAATGAAAGTAAGTAGAACATATGAGTGAAATTTATAAGGAGCCATATTTCATAGCTAGCTAAGGAAGAATTTTCTAATATTTGATCAGAGTCACCCAGCGATGGAAGCAGCTTTTCCTAAGGTACAGTTACCTACCACTGAAACTGTTCAGAGAGACAATTCAAGAGAAAGGATATAGCACAGGGAATTATACCCATTACCTTGTAATAACCTATAATGGAATATAATCTGCAAAAATACTGAATCACTATGCTGTACACCTGAAACTAACACAATATTATAAATCAGCTATACTTCAATTAAAAAAAATGAGAGAAAGGATGTGAAAAGAATTCCTGATCTGAAAGCAAAATTGTAAAATATTCTTTCTAGACCTTTTCAACTCTAAGAATTTTCAGCCTTCCTTTTTTTCTTTCTGTCTTTCCTTCCTGTCTTTTTTCTTTATTTCATAAAATATATATTGAGTGCCATATATATAATAGACCAGGGGTCCCCAGCTGGTCCTTGGCCTGTTAGGAACGGGGCCGCACAGCATGAGGTGAGCGGCGGTGAGTGAGCGAAGCTTCATCCTCCACTCCCTATCGCTCATATTACCTCCTGAACCATCCCCCCCCCCCCCCCCCCCCCCCCACCCCCGCCTCAACACCTGGTCCATGGAAAAGTTGTCTTCCACGAAACCGGTCTTTGGTGCAAGAAAGGTTGGGGACTGCTGTACTAGACTATACTACACACAGGGAATATAAGTGTGCACGATTTATACTACAGTGGGTGAGACACAAATTAGCTACATAATCACAAAAATATGTAAAATTTCATCTGTGATAAGTTATATTAACAGAGAGCTGCATGGTGCAAAGGAATCTGAAAGGAGGATTTCCTAAAGAAATAATGGTTAAGGAAACACATAAAGCATGAGAAGTATTTAACCACACAGACTGAAAGGGGAGAATATTCCATGCCATGTTTAAAGAGTCTATAGTCCTAAGAACAATCTGGAAGTCACTGAAGAGTTTTAAGTCATAAGAGATTACATTCATTGAGGTAATATCACGTAGTGGGGTAAAGAATATTAATACTGAAGCTAAAATTGCTGAGTTCAAATGCCAGCTTCACTGTCCTGTGGTCCTGGGCAGAATCTTTAAATTTTCTGTGTCTCAGTTTCTCCTAATCTATAAAATGAGGACAAATAATAATACCTACCTTATGGTGAGAATTAAATGAGTTACAATATGTAAAGTGCCTTGAAGAGTGCTTAACACATGGTAAGTGATAAATAAGTGTTTCTTATTATCATTGGGTGCATATGTATATAATATAAATAGATAGAGATATGTACTAGATAGAGATATACAATATATTTATGCACATACACAAAAGTTTCTTCTTGGCTCAGTGAGTGAAACAATTTGGAGGAAACTAAGACTAGACATGAGGAGATCAGTTAGGATTTTAATACAAATTAGAAAAAAATGGTATCTCGAAGTGTAAGTTCACTGATTGTGGTGGTAGAAGTAGAGAGCAGTGGACACTGTGAGAAAATCAGGAGGTAAAATTATTAGGATCTGATGGCTGATTGGACACATGGGAAGAGAGCAAGGAGGTGAGATGTTTTCTGACATGCATAATTGAATAGATGGCAGTACATTTCCTAAGGAGAACACATTTAGAAGAGAAGATCATGAGTTTGATTTTAGACGTTGTTAGTTTGAAATTATTTTTATTTATCCAAGAGGAGATGTCATGTAAGTTGTTAAATGAGGTCCATGAGAGGCCTGAATAGATATATAAACATGCAGGAGAAATTTTCTAAATTTTATTGATATTTCCAATAATTTTGGAAGAATTCTGCATTTAAATATCCATGCTCCCATGAGGTAAGACTGAGTCAGGGACAGAGGATGGATTAGGAGAATGCACACATAACTCTAAGCATTGACACATGAAGCTATGAGGAATAGAATGAGCTTTCTAAAATCAATTCCTTCATTTTTAATTTTTTAATATATGCACAAAGTTACTAGAATGTCCCTAAAATTTACAAATCTTGATGTATACATTATGACTATTAAGAAAATCAAGAAGAATAGGAGATGGGATTATAATATGGGATGGGATCATAATAAACTCTCAGTCCCTCATTTATGGCCCTAACTAAAACACAGAACAAAACAAAACAACATTATCCATGATCTCTGCATGTAAATACCATGAACATATAGGCAAAAAAAAAGAAAGAGAAAAGGCAGTGTCCAATGATAATGAGAAATGTATTTGCAAACAATAATGTTTAAAAAAATAAAGATGGGGGGTTCCCTGGTGGCGCAGTGGTTGAGAGTCCGCCTGCCGATGCAGGGGACACGGGTTCGTGCCCCGGTCCGGGAAGATCCCACATGCCGGGGAGCGGCTGGGCCCGTGAGCCATGGCCGCTGAGCCTGCGCGTCCGGAGCCTGTGCTCTGCAACGGGAGAGGCCACAATGGTGAGAGTCCCGTGCACCGCCAAAAAAAAAAAGATGGACTTTTGGTAGTAAGAACTTTATAACAGAATTTTTTATTTGATTTCCCTTAAAAAAAAAAAAAAAAAAAAAAAAACTAGACAGAACAACTGGCATGGTGGAAGAAAATTCCCAGATGACATCTTTGACAAAACTGGTGTCAAAGAATCCAATGAATTCTCCCAAATGGTTGAATGTAAATGTGTGTGTGTGTGTATACTGATAGATAGATAGATGAGAGATGAATATATGTAGATACTTAAAACTTAAAATGTTCTAGGAACCATGCATTGGCAAGGAGGAGTATAAAGTTTATTGGTTAAAGTCAGGATTGTATATAATATATAAGGAATAATTTTTTAAATAAACTTAACCACAATATATAGGTAAAGAATGTATAACTGTCAAACTAATATAGAGAAAAATAGAAGGACAAAGAGTATTTATTGAGTCCAAAAGAAGGCAAGAAGAGAAAAGTAATAAAAGGACAATAGAATGCATCTAAAAAAGTAGTGTATTTGAAGCCATGTATTACCATGTATATTGGTAATTACATGGTACAGTGGTTAGGAGCTTGTACTTTAGAGGAAAAAGATTGAGTTTCAAATTCTGCCTGTGACATTTACTATTTGATCTTTGGAAAATGTCTTAACATTTCTAAGCTTTGGATCCTCATCTGCAAAATAGAAAACAATATCTACGATCTTACACTTTTGCTATGGAGAAAAGAGAGAGAACAGATGTGCAGTTCTTGTCACCTGACACATAAAAAGTACCCGATAACTGATAGGTAGAAAGTTTATTATAAGTAGGGACTCCAGTACACAAAATTGCACACATTTTCTCCAAACCAGACCATTTTACAAATAAGGAACTGAGAAAAATGATTGAACTGATCCAAGTTATAGGTTTTAAGTTTTAGTGCATTGGGAGGGTAAACAATGAAATGGAGTTGAGGGTTAAGGAGTGGGGCCAGTGAACCATGAGACTGAAGTTGGATAGTGAAAGAGATGAAATCAGGAGGGGACAAGAAAATTGGAAGAAATAAGACTGAAGTACAGGGCTTCCCTGGTGGCGCAGTGGTTGAGAGTCCGCCTGCCGATGCAGGGCACGTGGGTTCGTGCCCCGGTCTGGGAAGATCCCACGTGCCACAGAGCGGCTGGGCCCGTGAGCCATGGCCGCTGAGCCTGCGCGTCCGGAGCCTGTGCTCCGCAACGGGAGAAGCCACAACAGTGAGAGGCCCGCGTACAGCGCAAAAAAAAAAAAAAAAAAAAAGACTGAAGTACAGGTTTGAGGGGAATTACAGAATACAAGACCTGGAAGAAAATGAGTGATCTGAGCTTGGGAGACTATACCTTAAAATGTCTTGAGTCCCAATGCTAAGACATGAGATTCTCGGTGTGGCTATGGAAAGGAACCACTAAAATGAGGAAGTGAATGTCACTGGGGTCAAAGAGACCAAAGGAGTTTGAATTTGTAAGAATCTCCGATGCAAGTGCTTCCAGTTTATTTTAGCATCCTGGAATCAGAGAAGAGTCAGCCCCAAATGAGAAAACTTTCAAACAATACAAATAGTTTTAAGTATCTTTGTTCAGTGTCATGGAGCTGCCGAATGGCAGATACAGGATTTAAACCCATGTAGTCTGGCTTCAGAGCTCCTGCTTTCAATCACTATG